ATCACATTTTTAGATGATCTTCTAATGAAATATTCTTTATCAATTCTGGTAACGTATCAGTTAAGAATGCGGCATATTTGTACCCATTCAGATTTCCGTCAATAAAATATGGACGAATAATTTGATTATTTCACAAACCATACTATGTATATGTTAACACTCCATGGACACTGACGAGTCATCTGCCGAAGCCTTCTCTGTTCCTTTTCCGCTCAATAATGCATATTATGCGTATTAACATGTTCACAATTTGACACGTTGCTAAATGAAACGTTGTCGAAGAACTGTTTATCAATCTGTAATTTTTGTAGTACCCATTGACAAAAATTCACCGATTTTGAAAATTCTGTGGTTCAAGAGCGCTCGATGAAGCCACATGTGATAAGATCGAAACCGATAACGTTTGAATAATTGTTAAACACTAGATTTGGATATACCAGAATATCTCGCAATTTATCGATTACTTGTATGTATGTGGATACACTTCTTCGTGAGTTTGTTTCTTAACACGATGCCTTTTAACTGCTTGAATACTACTTCATTCATGAAATAAGTTAAATCATACTGTAGGAAACAGAGTGCAGGAACGTAATTACAGACTCGTAGTAAGTACATATGTATTTTCAGAAAGTATAATTATGATAAAGTAGGTTGTTAATCGCTATGTCGCTTCGCCAAAAAAGGACACGTCTGGCTATTGTTTTCGCTATTTATATGGTCTCCGCGGCCCGCGTTCGCTCTCTCTCCCTCTCACGCACTCTGCTACTCGCATCCATGCCTCGCATTCGCACAATTATACTTGCACTTGTTTAATAACAGCGAACGTCGGAAGGCCTGTGGCCTTCTCGTTTTGCCTATTTATGTCGCGAGTTTTTTCCGAAGACGAGCTTGACCATATGATCGGCCCGCACCGGTCATTAACCTCCTACACTCGGCTATCCTGACAAGTGCACCTCTCCTCAGGTGCTGCTAGTTTGTTTTTCGCTTATTCGGAAGCACTATCATTCACTTCTACATGATCTTCTATCTGCCACTGTGGAGATTTCTCTTCTCACTAGATAACTATCATTACGTAGTGTCCTCGTTATTGTGTATGGACCCATGTATTTTGGTGTGAGTTTCCGTCCCGGACCCAACTGCGTTTTCTTTACCAGATCGTCTTCCTTGTATAGGTACTTGCGCTCCTTTTCTTTTCTTGTACGTCTTCTTGTTCTCTACCTGTACCTTCATAATTCCTCTTCTTTCCCCCAACATCTCCTCGCCCATCCTAACCATTACCTTCTCTTACGATCTTTCGCCTGTAACAGGGTCAGAGCGCGGTACTTGCGTGTACTGGTGAGTCCGTCTTCCCGTGGTTTCCCGTGGATGCGGTGGCAGTCGACGTCGGGGTATTTGCTCGGTTTGACTGACAACGTAGCGAAAGGGCTCATCCGCTGAAAACGCTCAGCGGCGTGGCTGGATTTTTCCATCGCCCGTCTCGGGGCGGTGACTAGCCGGGGGTAAGATAGAACTTGCTGAACGGGTGTATAAGACACAAGTCTGAGGAAACGCAAATGCCTCTCGGGGCGGCAAACACTATATGAACCTTCATAATTTGTTCCCTCGCGCTGTATCGTAGCTCATTCCAGTCCTCTTGAAATTTCTCGATCCGTTCCGCCTAACTCGGTGAGAGATGAATCTTCATTTGCCCTCATGCGGACTCCGAACAAAAGATCGAATGGAGTGGTACCAATACTGCGATGATACGTAGAATTTAGACATCGTTGTAACGCATCGAGGTGGCGGTACCAATTTTCCGGCTTCGGTGCGCTTACCTTTGTCAGCATTGAGATAAGGGTTCGGTTAACCCTTTCAACTTGTCCATTGCCTCTTGGAAAAATTAAAAAGAGTTATACTACTATATTACTTCAGTTCGAAAAGGGATAGTACAATAGAAACAGATAGAGATAAGCTAGGTATTGCTGAAGTGGCGAAGACAGTGCCGCTCACTACAAAAGGCTATAAGAGCTGAAATGCTTGGAATTTTGCTGCAAAAACACAGTACATTCTTGAAAGTTCATACTTTCCAAAAGTGTATGAAAGTTGATTTTTTGGAAGGTGTAGAATAGAATACCCCCTTAATACCTGAAAAGTATTTTCACCGAAAAAATTTTTGAACGTGGCAAATAATATCCCTTACGCAAACGTAAAAGTTTAAACAAATAGCCTTTCGATATCTCATTTTATAACAAGTTTCTGATTTGTAATAATTTGTATGACTCGTCGTGTATACATATACGTAATTCTGTTTATGATTATAACGATTTTATAATCGTAGAAATGTTATTATCTAAAGCAATTAAGGAAACAAAGTACCAGGGAATCTGTACCGCATTGTAATACTCTTTCTTTTTTATTTTCCTTTACAGCTGTTGTACATTCGTGGCAGCATTTTTTTCACGTACGATAATTACATCACAAGAGCATCAATGCATATATAATATGTTTACAGACAACAGCACATTCACAAACGTGAAGAAACATTTTCTTTTCCTAAGAATCCCTTGTGTTTTAGTTGATAGAATTAAATAGCGCAATCTGTGTAAAATCTTAAATATTATAAACATAAACACTTAATTCTATGCATTTATTTTCAATGAATATTATTTGTTTTTCTTGTAGACACGTTCAGGAAATGAGCACGCATGAACAAAAATCGGATCACCATTGCGTTGATTTACACGTATCGAGTAGTTCTTTAAGAAGTACAGAGTCAAAAACACGTTCTGGAGGAACTTATAGAAAGAAAAAACCAGCGCCATTACCGCCTGACAAGAAGGAACAAAGTTTATCCAATCAGCGTACATCTTCGCTGTCTAAACTACTCAATAATCCTGCTGGATATGACGTAATTTATCAAAAAGTTCCTTATTATATAATGCTTACACAGAAATTCACTATCGCCTACGCCAGAGCCGCTTAACTTCTTGCTCACGAGCAAATTTCCCCTCCCGAGGTTCCCCCACTATGCGACTGAGATGGTCTCGCTGGGAGGAGTCCTCCCACCACAACTCCAGCGACTGCCGTTGGTTTATGTTACACATTCTACGTGTTCGTACCGCATAGTGGGGGAACCTCGGGAGGGGAAATTTGCTCGTGAGCAAGAAGTTAGGCGGCTCTGGTCTACGCCATTGCTGCGCCTATGTTATCTCGCTCGCAGTCAGTCAAGCGTGTAACGCTACACGACCCGGTTTCTTTTATGAGATTTCACGGCTCCACAGTTCATAATAGAATAATATAACTTTTTTAATTTTACTTTTTTTTAATCTGACATTCTTTTTAACATATTGGTGAGATTTTTCTGATGAAAATGAGATCAAACACGATATAATTTGAGCAACATTTACTTATTAATTCTTATTGAGTGATTAATTTAATTTCATAACATATCGCTTTGGATGAATTGCTAAAAAGATACATTAAATATCTGTACACACGATTCTATAATTGGCCACCAAACGGTAGCTGGATTCTACATATAATTAGCTACCAAACGGTGGCTCGATTCTATAATTGGCCACCAAACGGTGTCTCTCCCTTCACATTCGACGGATAATCTGTACAGATATTTGTAATTCATCCAAAGCGATATATTATGAAATTAAATTAATCACTCAATAAGTATTAACACGTTGACTGCCACGTTGGTCACCTGCGACTGGAGATTGTTTCCTCGATGGAGCCATGGTGGTCATCAGTGACCGGAGTGCCTCAAATGTTTAAAATAATTAAAATAAAATAAATATCGTCAACTAAACATTTGGAACGTCATAGCTAACTAAATAGACATTACTTTAAATTTGTAAAAAGAAATAATTATAAAGCATAATATAATCTTATGCTTAAAATAATGAAAATTTTCTTGCGGCCGCCTGAGAGCAACCTGTAGATCTGGCGTGACAGTGAACGTGTTAATAAGTAAATGTTGTTCAAATTATATCGTGTTTGATCTCATTTTCATCAGAAAAATCTCATCAATATCTTAAGAAAAATTTCAGGATAAAAAAACGTAAAATTAAGAAAGTTGGTGTTTAAATCGCTTGGTTGTCTCGTCTCTCGTTTCATCCTTCTCTTTTATTCGCTGTCCTTGTCTTTGTTCGGCAAACTACAAAGGCGGACGCGAGGCTCGAAAACAGTGTCCTTGATTCTTAAATTGTCCTGTTTAGGTTCCGGGCTGGTGGTCAATAAGAGAGACATTACTGTACAGGGTGTTAGAAAAAAGGGATCTAAGATTTTAGGAGCTTATAATACTCACTGAGTGAAGTAAAAAATGCTTAATCAATAAATATAGCTCCTAACATCAATCCTGTCGATGTAAAATATATAAACTTGTTTTCCATTTGAATACAAGACAGACCTCTACGGATCATAGATCGATGTATATTTACATATTTTCTGAATGGGACATTTGCGGTAGCAATGACCACCCATGTAGGACTCCTCTACTTATGCGCTTTCCAACGATATAGCATACGACCTAATAGGCGTGGGTCCATGTACTATAGTGCAGCCCACGCACGGCTTGGAAGATGCATTTCTCAACGGTATTCAGTGCGATTTCCAAGAGAGGAAACGTATTCGATATCGTATTCACTATGTAAAATTTATGTTTATATATATATTTTTATTTCGTATTCTATATCATGATATGTAGAAGTAAGCAAAAATACATTCTACGACGCGAGTTTACGTTAGGGTCCGTACTATAAGCTTCTAATACCTTAGATCAGAGCCGCTTAACTTCTTGCTCACGAGCAAATTTCCCCTCCCGAGGTTCCCCCACTATGCGACTGAGATGGTCACGCTCGAGTTTTGGCGAGGCGGGAGGAGGGCGCGAGGAGTCCTCCCACCACACTCCAACGACTGCCGTTGGTTTATGTTACACATTCTGCGTGCTCGTACCGCATAGTGGGGGAACCTCGGGAGGGGAAATTTGCTCGTGAGCAAGAAGTTAGGCGGCGCTGCCTTAGATTCTTTTTTGTAACACCCTGTATATAACGTAATATAAAATTTTTAATGATATCACTATATTATTTTTAATGCGTGGATAACGTATTATAGGAATAGACTACTATTGTTAGTGTTTTATATAATTATTTATTTAAGTGCAAGTTGACCAAGTAGTCAGGCTTGCGTGATTTATTATATTTAGTCCAGAGTGCAACAGAGTAAGAGTCTTCTGAAAATAAATTGAAATGTGCACAATAGTTAAAAGTAATAATAAGCTACTGGCGCGACCCGTGCCATCGAGAATCGGAGAGATTTATCTATGTAACGTTCATTTACTCGTGTAATCATAAATGGTAGTCGTGTATTTTTTAATTACACTGTATAGCCTGATGAATCACGTTTTGCTTACATATAAAATTATGCTTGATAATAACTCAGGAATATTTTTTACTTTCATTATTAGGAATCGTCTTCGCACACAATGCCTAAGGCACGTAAGATAAAACCAGCTCCACCACCACCACCAATTTCAACAAGTACTCCATCTAATGCGTCCCCTAGCTCAATAGTGAATTTTGAAGAATCTCCTATAGGTAAATCGCACAATGTGACTAAAGAGAATAACATTTGGGAAGAACAAAAGACTAACAAAGATGAGGCAAATAGGAACAGGCAAAATTGTACGAACTCGTCATGCGAAGAAAATTTCCATCATAAATCATACGTAGATAAAAGTATGGAAGGAAAATGGAAAAGGAAAAAAGGGCCTGCTCCACCTTGTCCGATACCACATAGAAGAAAGGTAAATTCTCATGTATTTTGCATCAATTGAATTCACAGTAATAGTAATATCAATCATTTAAGAGTGAATTTTTCTTTATACACATATCACAGTACAAATTAGACAGTACAAGACTTTAGGTACAATGATTTTATCGGACCAAGTTCCAAGTAATGTCATTTTCCTTAATATTAAAGAAATATTTATTTATTCCAATATACATAATATGCTCTGCGAAGAAATTGACAAACCTCTATGACATGCTTAGTAAGTCATCCTAAGCCAAAAGGTTCATAAACACTATGAGTCTATTTCCGTTTATTCAAAAGTCGTAAGAAAAATGAGATATTGCAGGATAATCCCAACAAGAAACAGTTCTTCCTTTTACAATTTTCGAGTATTTTTTATTTTACTTTAGAATTGTCTTCTATGGACATTTGTGTTATACATATGTAGACTTTTCTTTCAATCGCAGTGTGTGTCTGTGAACACTTTCGGGTCGAGTCAGTAGAGGTAAACAAAACATTCGCGTGCTAAGCACGTACATACATATGTATCTAATGGATGCATGGGACTCCAGCTATTGGCTGGTAAACGATATTCAATTGTCGAATTCAGGAGCGGATGTAAGTACTTACATGGGTCATTGTTAGGATTTGCTTCGAGTTTTCGGGTTTATGACACGGACGACGAATTTCGAGAATCCCATCCGAAAAGTGTTACAATATCTGAAGGTTGTGAATACGCTCCTGTCCTAATCACGTGCGTTTCTTTACTTCTACTAACTCGACTCGTTCGACGGACTATTGAAGAATACGTACTATAATATTTAGATGTAGTGGGCTTTTCTTCGACAGCTTTGAAAATACAGTGAAATATTTATCTATTCCTAAACGTTTAGTTGTGTTCCCAAAGCTGCCCAAATTTATTCTTTAAATTTTCGAGCATCTATGTACTCCATTGTATCACGTTCTGACTTACTTCGTAGAAGCTACAAGGTCTACGTAGTTATTTGCTGACAATTATGTACATCTACTAACCAGCTCTACAGTAGTTGCTGGTTTACATTGGATTGTCGGACTTTAAGGATTTCTTAAATGTCTTCGTAATTTATGATTAAAAAAGAGAGCTTTGAATCGTAATTTTGTCATTCTTGATTTTCATTTTATTTTATTTAGCATATGTACTGTTTTCTTTGGTATTTTTATATTTTTTACAAATAAATTTTAATAGATTTTGTAAATGCTTTATGTTTTATATATTTCAGATTAAAGTAATGTCCCTTAAGGACGTTAAATTTGAATTAGATGAAATAGAAATGCAACAACAGGGCTTGGAGAAACAAGGTGTACGATTGGAACAATTGATTAGAAGTAAATGTGAATCTGGATCCAGAAATAACGGTAATTATACTTACAATAAGTAAATAATATAATACAGGGTGTCCCGTAACTGCTCGAACACCCGGAAATGGGGGGTTGCTGGGGTAACTCTGAACAACTTTTTCCTTTACCAAAATGTTGGTTGAAGCTTCGTTTTTGAATTATTAACGAAAAACACTGGCCAATCAGAGCGCGCGTAGAGCCCGCGCTCAACCACGGGAGCGATGACTCTCATCCGCGCGCGATCGTGAACAAGCGTACGCGTGACTTCTTGGTTATCGATCGCTGTCAAAAAAATTTGCCTTTGCACCGCTATTTTTATAAGGCTTAGAGAAATGGTTTTTTGTCGTCATTCCGACGTTTGTATAAATTTTTTGAAAAAACTACAATTAGTCGGAATAGCGAAGGTCGTTTTTACAACTTTTTTATCTGAGCTCGTAATGAAAATTTAAAAAGTACGTTTTGTAGATCTATGTCAATTATACACACGCTGAAGATTTCATCGAAATCGGTTAATGTTGCTATGAGCTACAAACGGTTAAAGATTGTGAAAATCGAACTGTGAACTTTCAATAAAATTGATCGTAGTAAATATTCTGTTTTATTGTGTATTCTTGATTTCCCAGTATAGTAAACCCAAATCTGTACCGAGACAGTAAGCGAGATATGTTAGGTCGGGACATGGTTAAGTGCACGTGTACCCAACGAATATTTAAAGTCCATTTTCTCGAAAGCAAAGCCTCGTAAGAAAAAATATGATTCTACATTTTCGATTTATTTTTTTATGTAGAATCCCCGTTTTCAGTTGTACCACCGGTTACCGATCACCCTGTGCATTAAAATGAATAATGAACCGTCATTTAAATGTTAAAACTTTTTAATAGTAGCATGTATATCTGCTTGTTTATACTAATCAGGAAGTAAAATATATAATATGGTAAAAATTACAGATGTTTCTCTTGATACTACAGATGTGGAAGAATTAATTATGGAGTTATTTGCTTTGGTAAACGAAAAGAATGAACTATTCAGGCGACAGGCAGAATTGATGTTACTACGAAGACAACAGAGATTAGAAGAAGAACATGCTGAAATAGAATATCAAATTCGGTGTTTAATGTCGCAACATGAGTCAACAAAAACGGATTTCGACAAACAAAGGGAAGAAGCATTGATACAGAGGTATAGTGTTATTTTCATTTATTCATATGCATGATCTAGTCCGCCGTCCGAGGGTTAAGAATTATTGGAACTTTATCACTTTTCAAGAGAATGGTTGAGTTGTGACCCATGGTTCGTTCACACTTTTTGTCCTTACGACGAGTGGAATACGGTGCAAGTAAAACAAATTTGATCGTGAATTTCTAGGTCAAGGATAATTTTGCACGTATTCTTTTTTTTTTTTTTACAAATATCCAACGATCCAAAGATGTAGTGGTAGTCTTTACAAATAATTTTTATGCACCCGGTACATTTGCATGAACATGTAGTATGCAAAACTATAAACCTTTCGAAGCTATCATCTACGTAACAAACTTTTGTTTCCACAGCTTTTACAGGTACCGGTATGATAAAACTGATTTCAATTATATTTGCCATTAAAAAGGGAAGGAAATAATATAGATGATACCATAATTTTAACATTATGAATCCATTTCTTGTTAAAAATAATATATACAATAAAGAAATGTTTATAGTGATTAAAAATAGACTTTTGTTACGTATATGTTACGTACATATGTCCAAGGAATGCAATATGTTTGTTGGAATACACGAATTTCTTTAAGTTTACAAGTGACCGTCAAACCTAAGCAAAGGGTCTAGTAGAATAAAATGGTCAAAAGTGCCTTGAACCAATTAGGTCGTGCGATATACTATTCGACAGCTTATCGAAAGAAAACATTTGACACCAACTTTCAATCCTCTAGCTCGACCTAGGGGGTAGTTACAGGGTTGTTTATGTTCATCAGTTTCTGAACTGTTTTCCCTATTCAGTGGTACGCGAAAATTTTGAATAAAATCTGACACATTGCGTATATGAAGGCACATGTTAGGGAATTTTTTCCGATTTTTTCGTTGCAAATCCATGCATTTACATGTATAACCAATCACCAAACCCTCCAAAAATTCACTCACAATTCGCAGATTAGGCAGCTGGGCTCTGCAACGTGGATTTGGCTGCATTGCCTCCTTTCTTCCTTCCTCTCAGTCATCATTCCAGTCTCTCAGCTTTTATTTTCCAAGACTCACAGACTCACAAAGTGTGAGTCACTGTGAAATGGGCGACACGAAATTGTGTACGAAACGCGATTTATTTGAGTTTTATTTAGGAGGGGAAACCGCGATTCTATATTATTCTCAATTTTTGTAATGAAGCAAAATTTGAATGGAATACGCGTAAAAAAACCATGAATTTACATCTTTCTCGATTCTATAATATAAAGAAATTTCCATGAAAGACGCGACGGTAATTGGGGAGAAGTATCAGTCAAACGCGCAAAAATATTCAATATAAATCGAACTAGGGATGAAGCTATTATAACAATACGCGATGTTTATGTATGGTGTTTATAAACATTGAAAAATTCTCGTATAAACTTCGAAAATAGATTAATTACGGTTTACGGTAAAAACGGTTTAATTAAGGGAGGGCATAGTGCACGAGCATAGTGCACTCGTTCCAAATCAGCTCACAATATACAGTTCAATAATAAAATAACTAACTACTTAATCATGCAAATCATGCAAATTCCTTGGATAGCTGTAAATTATTAGTACACAAAATCATCGAATAAATTCAGTATCAGAGAAAATATCAGAAAAATAAAAGAAATTCGATAAGCTGAAAGAAAAATTTCAAATTAATTTCAATAGCTGAAAGAAAAGTACGTATTATCGATTATTAAGCTGTAACAACAAAGTATTTAATTACTAGATATCTGGAACGCAAAAATTTTCATTGGTAAACCTCTCAAATTCACTTCAACGCCTTATTCGACAAGCCTGAAGAACAACAACGACTAAAATTCGAACGTGGAATTCCCTAAACCTTCAAAACAATCTCGATATTCAAGGTCCTATTGGGAAACTAATTTTATCTTATTTCTAAACCGAAGTTGGAAATCGAGTAATTAAAGTCTGGATGACTAAAATTGGAATGTTTATTTCCCTAAACCTTCAAAACAATTTCGAAATATTTTATTCAAAGTGGGATATTCAATGTCCGATCGCGAAAATAATTTTATTTTATTTTTAAACCGAAGTTCGAAGTCGAGTATTTACAGTCTGATATTAAATGCCTAGCAGGTACCGGTAATTGTTAAAATTTGATTTAATATTGTCTAATAGGTAGTTATTAAAATTCTATAGTGTATAAGTTTCAGAGGAAGGTAGAGTGTGTATATGGTGGACATAGGCTAGCTAGTAGCCCTCGACCACCCAATTCACATCTCAGAACCTTTAAGACTAAGTTGCCGCGAATTGTCTAGGGCCCAGTATAAAGGGTGAATGATTTCGCGGGACCTCGGCGGGTCCTTATATACCTGCGGTACCCTCTCCCCAAAGTCATTAGCAAAGACGTTAATAAAGTCGGGCGGCAGTTTACCTTTTTGCCGAAAATTGTTTACATTTCGCAGGAAATTTCCGTTTTTCTATCCTAACGTTATAATACCATCTAATTTATTAATTCTCACAATTTTTGTTATAAATAATCTATCTTCGTTAAATAACTACGTTTTAACGATCTTACTACTTTCTCGTGGTAATCAGGTTCACCTGCGGTCATATTATTAAAAATAGCCATAGTGAAGGTAAAATTATTATGTTAACTAACTTTTCATACAAATTAAAAGCTTATTCAACGTTTACGTTTGTTCATTGCAATACTTTCTTGTAAATCTTGCAATGAAATTTAGAACAAATGATGCTCCTAATTGTTAACACTTGTTACGAAATGATTTATTTTTTCATTTTAATCAAATAAAATAATGTTACTGTTTATTATAACGTTATTAATATACATGGAATATTCTTGTAAGAATAATGCTGCAAGAAATAATCTTTTAGCTAATTATGAAATTTCTATTTACATGTTATAACGATTATAACGTTTACGTTTCGTCTTTTCTCTGTGAATTATGTATTAGAAATTATTTAAAACGTTTAACGTTGCGTTATTTAGTTATTATCGCGGGTTTGTGTACGAGGCTATTTATATTTTGCATTTATAAATATAAGACACAGTCGGTGAATTCCATTTGTTCGCACTAACTATGTTTAGGTGTTTGTATGCGTGTTTTTCAGAATTTTCGATGTTTTATACCGATCTTTGGTTATTTTTCGAAAGATCATGTTGAAATTGCGTTAAAGTCGATATATTCCAAGCGAACTCCTCTATGAAACGCAAGAAACTGATTTTTCAGAATGATCCTGCAAAGAATATGACGTCAAGTCTCAATGGCTCGATTTATACTATTTATTCTGCTCGTTTGAAAAAACCAAGTCCGATAAACTTTAGCGGCTGCATGGAGATAAATTTTTAGACGATAAATAAACCCTGTTGAAGAAAAGAAGCTCCGAAGATTTAAATCTGCAACTTTACACGTAAAAATAAAGAATTCTGCAAATTTGAAATTAGACTTGAAACGTAATATAACGTTGTAACAACCATCAACGAAGACGGCGACAAAAAATTTCCATTCCGCGAGAGGAAGTGAGAGGGACGACTCTTTATCCTCGTCGTCAATCAAATAATTGCGAAGCGATAGAAGCTTCTAGAAGAAACTAGCTTGCGATCCGCGATAAAAAAAAAAAAATGTAGGGTCGATTCCACAAGAGTCAGTAAAATGTAGGGTCGATTCCACAAGTGTCGGTGAAATGTAGGGTCGATAGCAGCAGAAAAGCTGCTAAACCATTAGAATTAAATGTAACGATAGAAATTATTGCAATAGTGCGTAATGCAATTGAAAAATCGCAGAAAAGTCTGATACAAATGTTTGAAAAATAAAATATATAAGATGAGATACAGTATCTTACCACGTAATGTAACTTTTTATTGTGTAACATATTAAAAACACTGTTTGGGAAAAATTTGTCACAGAATTGCATTTCTTATTTAATCTTCCTTTACTGCTACTTCTTGTGAAATTTTATGTCAGAATATTGAAGAAATTCTTCTTTGTGTTTCGTAGGCAATTGATTGCTAATTTGCTAGTGACAGATCCATGTTAAAATTTGATGTTAAATGGAACTTTCATATCTACCATAGAATCTGTATAATTTTTCAAGGTATTTTATTAAGAAACGCGCACATAGTGTTCAATTTTCTATCTTAGAATTAACTTACTTTATCTTACGAACTACTTAAAGTTCAAACTTTCAACTGTGTGTGAGAATGAGAGTGTCGACGGGTACGCGTAGTTCTTAGCTTGGTATCCTTTTGCAAAAGTGAGAATTTTCTTTGGAAAAGGATACCAATTACCAGGTCCCACCACGAGGAGGTGACTACGCAAGGGACCCGACAAAAACACATGCCCTACTGGCAGCTTTCTTATCTTCAGAGATACGCGATTCTCATTCGTAGCAAAGGAAATAGATACTTTTATCAAAAATTCCTGTCTCAAAAAGAGTGTCTTGTATTTCACTTTAAATCGCAACTCTAATCATTTTCTCATTCCCAATGCAATATTTAAACTCTAAAAATTTCGTACTCTTCCTTAATAAGATGTTGAAAATGTAGATGGTATTTTATTAATTATGCTACGAATGAGTCGCGTATCTCTGTAAGAGAGCGCGCACATGGTATTCATTACAATTTTTCTATCTTGGGATTAGTTGTTTTATTCGATTAGTTAAAGTTAACATGCACGCGTCCCACGACGTCCACCGGCGGATGAATAGAATATTTTCTATTGTCTTATGCTAACTTATTTTATCTTACGAACTACTTAAAGTTAAGACACTCGTTCACGCTCACTTCATACTCGGTACAGTTTTCGATCTTAGAATTAATTAAAGCTAACATGCGATAAAAAGGTACATTTTTCAAACATACAATGAAGCACTGTAAGAAAAGTATATTATTAAATTGCAATAGGAGGATAAATTGTTAGGATATCTTTATTATATATATTTTATTTTCATATTTAAAATCGTAGTATCGAAGTTCTGTAAGAAAAATATAT